AAATGGAATCCCTTACATTACTGAATATTTTAAGGTTGATACGAACTGCAAGCGTTAATAAGAGCTGGAGATATTAAAAAAAATACCCCCGCCGCAGCAAACCTGCAGACTAAGCGAATTTCCATATGTCTGATTGGATTTACACTAAAATGTCCACCGGTACTTAAAAATTTAACATTTATTTTCTATTTAAATAGAATTAGTTTAACAGGTACTTAGGTTTGCTGCATCAGGGAGGGTAAAACTGCTTTTTTTGTAAAATGTTAATAGTTAGTAAGAAATAAAAACATTTTCCAAATTTGATCAAAATATGTTTATAAACAAGCAAACTACAACAGTTTACTTATTCTCCATAAGAATAACATGGGAATTTAAAATTTACATTTTTTTGGAATTTTCTCCGTAACCATTAGGCGCATAGTAACGCTTCAATATACTAAATTATTTGTTTTTTTAAGATCTACAAAATAGTTTGAAAAGATTTTGCAAATTTTTTTGTTTTTTGGGTCAAAAATGGGAAAAACCTATTTCTACCCCATAAACCCCCCATAAACCCCCGTTCCCATAGTCCGATCATGCTGGTTCGCGAACTCGTTCAAGTTTATCCCGCCTTACACCTTCAAACCAAATTTTATCAAAATCGGACAAAAATTACTCAAGTTATCGTGCGGATGGACACATATATATATATATAGATATATAAAAATTTGAACGAATGGTGTTTTTGGCCTCTGGGGACATCAAAATGAAAAAGCAAATCGGTCCCGGGCCTAGGTTTTACCATGAGACCTACGGTAATAGCTACTTCCCTATAGGGAAATTCGCTAAAATGATAAAAGTACGAAACCTATAAGAAATGTATGGGGAAGGGTTTTCGTTTGAATAACTTTAAAACGAAAAAAAATAAAAACGGATTACCTTATTGAAATTAGCATGAAAATCTAGTTTTGTAAATGATGTGTCACAAAACTATCATTACATAAAAACAATATTTATATCCAATATGGCGGATCCAAGATGGCGGCCATAAACGTGTTTCCTATCGAAATGAAGTACTAACCACCCAATAAATACTGGTGGTAGTCTTAAGTCAATATCTCGAAAATGTGCATAAAAAATGCATGTGGAATCATTTTTTATTATTTTTCCAATGTTGGGAAAAGCTACCATTTTTTATAATGATTTTAGGGGGTTTCCCATGGACCGATTTTTGGCAATTTTTAGTATAACACTCAGCAGACTCAACACTACAAAATAAAACCCTAAAACATTATCTTGCAATCTTTTTAGGTCATATTCTATATTTCTTTGACTATAGCCATTACATTAAGAATCTGTATATTATGGAGTATACGGGAGAACACAGAAACAACAATGCAATAGACGCAATAGACGCTGGCCGTCAGCGATCCCGTCTGCTCCCGGAGCAGTGCCCTGCGTCAGACGCTCAAGCGTCTCAAGCGTCTGACGCTAGAGACGCTCCCTTGGACAACAGGCCCATAGAAACCAATGCTTAGCAGTCACTGAGCGTCCATCGCCAGCGTCTATTACCCAGCGTCAGACGCAACAGACGCGTTCTTGGACAACGGGCCTTAAGTGTGGTCCACCAGAGGACGGGGTCCTGTTGGGGGAGTTGGAGCCCAACCCCAAGGCCCTTGTTAGGCCTTGGGCCCAAGTAAGAATTTCTAAATTGGGGTTTCAGTTTCGAACTAAATGATTTATACAGTTCCAGTCTACTCTACCTTTTTGATTGTTAGTTTAGTTTATCCTTGTGTTCTTTGTTTTGTTTTGAGTAATTAGTAATGTTGGGTTTTGAAAGCGAGTGCTGAGTTTCATTCCTGACGTCACCCGTAGTAACGGTGAGTACCTCCTTTGAGGAATACCTACCGGCTACCGTTATAGTAAGGTTTACAACACGTTTTTAGCGCCACTTGAAAGCCAGTAACAGTGCACCGCTGCTAGTTAACTAAACCTAGCTTTCTAAGTTTCTAATACCTAATAAGCCAATCATTGGTCCCAGGTAAGGGACACAACTCTCGGCTTTTCAAACAGTGATAGCGATATTACGCCTTGCTAGACCAGCAACAAACATTGAATAACTCCGGATCGTTGAGGTGACATACTTGTTTGAGCAACCCAAAATCAATGCGAGAGTCAACTGATACACAGGTGTTTCTTAGCTAATAAGCAAGGACTAAAATCAAAGTTTGAGTTTTAACATAAATGAAAAGGTCATTTCTTTCAAGTCAAGATCAAATATGTTTCCAATATGTTTACAGTTTAAATTAATCGTAAGTAAATTAAAAACACAACGGGCGGATTGAGTGTGTCGATGTTAGTGATACATAGCGGTGACTGGCCAAACTGTTACGAGCCTCGATGGCAGCTACATCTAGCGGAGACTGGGCGAACTGTTACGAGCCTTGACGGTAGTTGGATCTAGCGTGATAATAATCAGGGCTACAGATGTACTATTCCGTTTAAAATTATGTTATTTTTGTGCCTTACGATCTAATAACTGTCGGTATTTTTTGCTACTAATATGAGGTTATTAAAATTTGCAAAATCAAGATACTTTAGTAGAATTAATGTAGTTTTCAATTTGGAATGTTGAAATCGTCCAACTATTTTTTTAGGTACCGGTATACATACATGATTGATGGAATCCAGTGAAACCATAGGGAGATAGGGCTAAACTCTATTCAAACTCCAAATAAGAGTAATCATAAATAGTCGACATCAGTGAACTTGAATCATTGGCCTTAAAAGGAACTAGACATAAATAAAAAGTACAAAAGACTTTTTTGAATTGAAATGTTTTCGTATTAGTTTTATTTCATCCTACCACTTAAAAATGTTTCATAGACCTATAGTACTCAAAGTTCTACCTGATTCTGAAAATTACTTTCTTTTCTTTGGGAAAACCCCTTAAAAGTAAACTATTAATACGCTTATTCTGCGCAACGGGATGAGTGAACGTGGGCGCAACAGGTCTTCCACCTAGCAAATATCCTACTTACCAGTGTCACTGGTGAACACAATGTAATTTGTATAGGCAAATAAACCAAATCTCAGTGATCAAAAATCCTAACTTCTCGTCCATTAATTAACGAAAGTCATACTAGTTGGTATACGTAATGGATTTCCAACAGTTATCGATAGGAGGTAAATCCATCGTTCCTTTATAAAATGTCTTTTAATTAAATTAACCCTACCATTTCACGATTGCCTTTTGAGTTTGTAATGATGTCCCTGCTTTTCAAAGTACTTAAACCAACATTGCTTATGACTTGAAGGGGTTCAAGTCATAATGTAGCAATCTGTGATCTCAGGGACTACTTTATGAACTATAGTAGTTTTTATTGCTCTGAAGATGGAAGCTACTACACATCTAAATCGTCAGCCTCCAGTCTAACTGGTTCACCTGAAGACCTGGATTTGACATCAAACCTTCAGGTTGTGATCCTAGATTCAGTTACAATTAATTTTACTTCAAAACAGTTATTTAAAAATTAATAATTATATAATGGCATTTAGTTTTTCTTCAGTCAGACAGCAACAGACCGTTAGTCAATGCTGTAACTAAATGTCAGTGAACTATGTCATGTTAAACATTCAGTAAATAGAATTTAGTTATTTAGTGGCGTGGATTTAGCAGCAAAGTAACAGACCTGTAAAAGCATGTTACTGATCTGGTCCTATACAGGGTGAATAAAAAGTCAAGACCCCCCCTCTAATATTTTTCCAAGTAAATATACAGAGATATCCTTTTGGTGGTCAAGCAATCTTAGCAGGAAGTTTCATTTTATCACTTTGAAATTTTTGAGTGTCCCCCCAAAAGGGGGGATTTGGGGGGCAACTCAAATATTTTAAATGATAAAATGAAACTTCCTGCTAAGATTGCTCGATCACCAAAAGGATATCTCTGTATATTTACTTGGAAAAATATTAGAGGGGGGGGTCTTGACTTTTTATTCACCCTGTATATTCACTATTCAGTCTATGTTATTTTCTAATCAAGAGTACCGGTACAGTCCAAAGGTTTTGTGGGTTCATCAAAGGGAATGTTTCTGACTGAATGTTGGAACAAATCTAGACGTGCACACATACGACTATAGTGTCGCTCAGTCTCAGTCGGCTACTCCTGTGAACTGTGAGTTGATAATAAACTTGTGTTTGCTCTCTTGATTAATTGTTGTGTAAACTTTGTTTCGGTAAGAGTACATTTTTAAGCATGAATGTTCTCGTTGAGGATGTTGAACAACAATTTATCAAGTTGAGAAAAACCTTAATATTTATATTTGAAGGCTTCAGCAGACTATTCTGATATTAATCTGAAGGAGTTGTTGGAGGAGGTATCCTTGGAAGTACGATAGATTGGAACAATCTATCCTCTTCTTTTATGCGAGCAAAACTTCAATAACGAACATACTATTGTTGTAATATTGGAATCCATACTGTAACGTCTTAAAACAGTTGCCTGTGTAACTCCTGTGCAACTGTCGCTAGACTTCAGAGTCTCCGAGTGAATTGTGCAGCAGTCCCCCAATCAATTGGGCAACTGTTGCTAGTTTGGCCGCTTAGAAAGCGACCTCCTCCAGCATTGGTTTAGTATTAGCGTGCAGGTTGTTTTCTAAGCGGCCGAACTATAGACTCAAAATCGTCTGTGTGTTCCTGGCCCTTAGGCACTATTTAAGTCCTAAAGAATCTTTATCAAAACCAAAACAGTAAACATAAGACTAAGGTAATTTTAGGTGAGGAATGTGTCGTCCTTCAAAACCAAGATTTTTACTGTTGAAACCAGTGGTTTTGAAAAATTAAAGAATCTCATACAATTTTGTGCTGTTTGAGAAAAAGAAGTCCAACGCTCTAAAAATCTTGTGGATATTCCAGGAATAGAACCAGCTCCTCTCACATATGAGCCTAAGACGTTACACTAAAAACACTCAATATCAAAATGTTATATTTAAATAGTCAAATAACTACACCTATAGTTTTGTTTAGATATACTTTATTGGCATATCGTCAAAACTCATCAATATCTGTATATAATAAATTCAAACAATATCAAAACCTAGAAGCAAAGAAATAAACCCTATAAACATACAAAATGCCTAAAACAATGTTGCTTCTCTAAGCTAAAAATTCATCACAGAATACTGAAAAAGTACTTTTTTCATTACTGGCTCCATTCTAAACCTTGAAATAATTGAAAGCCTAAGTGAATGTGAATAAAATGCATGTCTGAACACCACTCAAAGTGAAAAATGTTATTACAGTCTGACATGGAATGTTTTGCCACAATCATTTGTTTCATACACATCCACTGTCAAATTACTTGATAAACTAAAATATACCTTTGTAAATAATAAAAGTGAAACAAAACATCCGAAAGATTTCTGTAATATCAAATCATCTCAAAATTTATTTTCAAAAGAATCTTTTGTTTGACAAGTAGTTTACTTATGTTAAAAAATTAGTTTTGATTGTAAACTTCAGACACGCAAAAAACTACTATATTAGGTGTAAATTCTTAAATTATTTTTATTTACAAACAATTTACAAAAATAAATATTTCAGTTTAATATCAACAATTAATGTGATAACCATCAAATATTACAAATGTAAGATTTCTCCTTAAATATAAAATAGCCTTTTTTCAGGTTATAACCAGCTACAGTATGTAAACTTGCAAGACCAATAATTGCAAAGAAATAAAATTGCTCCTTGATAAAAAAAAAACATACTGTATTTACTTTGAATTTAAGGTGTTTGGTGATCCTAAAGGAGTAAAGTTGTTTAACCAAAACTAACTCAATATGTTACTAAAATCTTCATACATATAAAATTAAAACTAAAATTGTAATTTTTTTACATGATAAAATTGAAAGCTAAAAACCTATCATGAGGCAATTTAAAGTGACTTAATTACAGACAACAAACAGATAATTTGAAAACAATACTTTTAAACGGATTCCCCCTTTATTCGCAAATAACACTATGACACTAGAGTAGACTTTATAAAGTTATTGAAAGTTGCTGAATTTCCATTGATTTATCAGATGTCACATTTTTTTTAAGTGGTCGACTATAGTAAGACGACTACTAATAACCTGAGGAAATATAAAAACTAGGCTGCACAAATATTATGATCAACTTACAAACAGTGTATATCATCTGATCATTCTGATCAGTTATAAGATGATTTGGTACTTCAGTATTAAACGGAGGCCACCATTACGAAACGCGCCGCGGCACTTATAGAGGGTTAAATTGTTATAGATGTTGTAGTAGAACTATTCTAGTATTGTTGTGAGTCGAGCGTTATCAGATGAGTCATGTGTCTACTCGCAGAATCCCCTCCAAGTAGGCCAATGTCAGGGTCGTTGACCGGAGCGCGCGCCATTACCTGTCATCGCCTGTCACTGTGTCTGAAACGGAGGCCACATTTTGTCAGCGCGCTGCGGCGGTTATGTTAGGTTGGGTTATCATAATAGAAAGTATAACTCGTCTGGTATCGTTCGATTCATAACGAAGCGAGGAAAGTCCTACACACATAATATTTACGATAACCCAACCTAACATAACCGCCGCAGCACGCTGACAAAATGTGGCCTACCGACATTGCTGCGTTCTGGGTTGCACAACGTCAGAACCAGGCGTCAGATTAATTCTAAACTTCACCTGTTAATCTATTAAAGTGTGTTCTTTCCAAGTATGTAGTTATTTTTGGTATCCGGTACGAAATATTTCTGTAGGTTAGGTGGCCTCCGTTTAATACTTAAGTACCGATGATTTTGCCATTCTAAATAATACATAGCAAGTAATCTATTTGCGAAGAACTTTACAACAATGAAATATTCTAGATAAACAAAACACTTTGCAATAGTTATTTGCTAAACAAAGCCTATTGGTATTTTAAATACCAAATACAACAATTCTTAATTGACAATCGATTGGTTTAATACCCGTCAATTCCACAGAAAACTCTAGACAAAAATTCAATAGCCTAAGTTTTTACAAAATTGATTTATAATTGTACATGGCAATAAAATGTTTTGTAACAAGTTATTAACGAGTATTTTGAATTAAAAATTTATTTCTAAGAGCGTAACAACACAACGCCGACCAAATTAGTGTAACTTTTCTTTTGGCATTAACATTTTTCAGATCTAGATTCAAGGTTTGTTAAACCACAAATAAGTTCTGTTCGGTCGACACTAGTAATTACGAACACTCATTATGTAATCAAAAAGATCTTGTGTTTTTTAGGTATTCATCTTAAACCGTATTGAATAAACGTAAAAACCAAGCACAGGATAGAAAATTGACACTTTGAACAGATTCCGTTAAGTTAATTACCAAACTGACACAAGAGCGAGACCTACATATGTATTATGTTAGACAATTGACGCCTATTCTACATTTTGTCACAACACCAACACAGCTTACACCGGCTGACAGTTGACTACGAATCTGTTTATCTGAGTCTGGAGGAACTACTAGCGAGGAAGGGAGGAAATGGCCAAGTGGTCATCTTCAGGTAATATCAGCTGATCTGAAACAGTAAGACAAGACTAAACTAACCTTGTCTATAAGAAAATTAGTTTACACCACACTACATTCTTTTAACAAACTTCCAACGCAAGGATTTAGTCACAGCTGTTTGCCGCCAGCTTACACCAACCAGCTGTTTTATTTGGCACTGAGTCATTATAAACAAAAACATAACCTCTCTTTGAGGAAATAAGAGGCCTAGTGATTGTTAGTCCTTTAGTCGGTGGGAATATATAAGGATTTTATGAACAACAAACAATTCTGGGAAGGTTTAAGAAGCAAAATTTGTAAGCGTAAAGCGCAAGACAATTTTATGCATATTCATTATCCATTAAACTAAACAAGGAGCCTCCATACAGTCAATGTTTTTTTTAGTTAAGATGGTTAGAATAGAAAGTTATTCTAATTGAAGAAATTATGTACCTATATCTAGTTAATATGGGGAGCGAGCTGGTGTAGTGGTTAGTGTGTGGGACTTCAGTCCCGAGGTACCAGGTTCAAATTGCACCAAGTCACCAATGGATCTAAGTGATATTGAAGCAACACCTAGGTCTAGCCTGAAGTAATGTGAAAAACAAATTTTATTTGGATAACACGATTGACTGTATATTCCACTTCTGACCACACTTCTCAAACACCACCACTTCCTATATACTATATGTACTCATGTAGCCATGTACTTTGCTTAAATAGGGATATCGCTCTAATACCTATATTTATTTTTGTCCTACGACACTAGGCTTTAGTTCGAGATTGTTTTGTTTTTCACATTACTCCAGGCCTAGGGGTTGCAGCATTATCACTATGATGAATCCATTGGTGATGTTATAAGAGCCTTAGGGACCAAAGTCCAGCGCTCTACCACTAGGCCAAATACATTTTATTTAACCTATTTTTGGAAATAAATAAACAATTTAAAGAAAATACAGATTAATTAAATTTACACATCTGAAGACAAAACAGTGTAGATTCACTATTCAAAGTTGATAAAATTATCCTATTAACTTCCAACTAGTACTAACTTTTTGGTTCACACAAGCTAATAATGCGTAAATAGACAACTAGTATTACGTAGCTAAACATGCTCAAAGTCTGTAGTAAGCGAGAATTTTCTAGCAATGCTTTTTACAAGCTGTTAATGTTCAGTTCACTCGGCGCTAGTTTAGTCTCTGATAGTGAGGGTGGGTGCGTTCACAAAGAAAGCTTGTAAGTTCCAACTGGCGTGAGAAAAGTTTACATTGTATCAAGCGTGTGTGTTCACAATGCTAGTTACGGCTAGCAAGCGCTTGCTTCAAGTTCTGACAAGCACGCAAGAATATTTTGTACTTTTTTTCCGGCTCTTGTTGACCGAACCAACTAGTCAGTGACAAACAACACTGTGCAGTATGGATGTCAATGAACTGATATCTCAAGTCTTAAGAAGGGGGGCTAATTCGGACAAACGCCTCAAACTACATGCTAATAGAGTTTTTTGAGGATGTAACTAAACATGGTTAACTCCGTTCTCATAAAACTAAACATTGTCCAATGTCAATCGAGGAAATAGATGGTAGTATTCCGCAAAATACCTCTTCTGCGGAGTTGCATGAACACCGACTTTCATTCTACGAATTTTTAATTTGACATTTTCAAACAAAAATCACTCTTCATCACTTGATGAAGAAATTGTCTTAACAAAAAACTAACTTGAAATGCAGGCTTTTGTTGTGTACACGCAACAAAATTCTCAAGCGCTTGTAGCAAGCACTGAATATATGTTACTTGTAACCAGCTTTCTTTGTAAACGCACCCTACGTTAGCACTAATACTAGGTTTGTCTGATCGAGGCGTTACTACAGAGCAAATCAACGTTAGACTTACCGAGAGTAAACAGACAGTTCAGTCAGCTCGACTGCTTTCCTCTGAGCATGCAACAAACACAAACTTCTGACAAACCAAACAAACACTCAACAAAATGTACAAACTTAACAACAAATGCTGTTGAACAAGAAAATGTTAGTAAGATTTACCGTAAAATATACAGTGTAGACATTTATTTTATTGACGAAAATGTCATTTTGTGATTAGATAAATTTGGAGACTTTACAAATATTTACAGTAAAAAACTATTAGCAGAAAGGAAGGACTTCTGACATTAAATTATATAGGGTGTCCCAAAAACACGTTACACACTTTAAACATGCAATGACTCATTGTACCAACTACTAAATGCACCAATCATTAACAATTAAATTGGTAAACAGCTGATTAGTTGAAGTTCATAGCATTACAATTTTACTTCTTTTCTCTCAATACTTGAACCTCATTGGTCTGTTACTCATGCTGTTAAGTAAGTAAACAATGCTGTTAAGTGAATCTTTTAAATTCTAAGAACTGAGCTAAAATGGCTGGTTTAAAAAACATTCGTAGGTAAAATAATTAAATATATAAGATACCGGTAGTGGTATATTTTCAATTAAATTAATGTTATTCTTAGACCTTCCATCAAACTGATTTCCATTAAAGTTCTATGCACTTTTAATCATGCTAGCAAACATTTTTTCATAATTTTGTTTTTATTACCGGTATGTTGCTCGGCAATTTTTTCTGAATGATCAGAATCAAACGAGACTCTGGGGTATTATTTTTTATTTATTGTAACTGAACAGTTTCAAGTTTGTAGCGTGTTCGATACGTCTGGTATATTAATTAAAAAATATCAACATCTTCTTGGGACACCCTGTATAAAAATAGCATCACCAAAGATAAATCTTGCATGAACTAACCCCTACACACTAGACGTGTTTTTGAACACTACAGTCAGGTGCCTAACTGCAGAATGATTTGGCTTTATAAAGCTCAAACATTTTAGTCTATTACGTTTTACTTATTTTGTACCCAAACGCAAAATGCATCTAAAAACATGAAGTTGCAATAATAATGTAAGATTTAATCAATTCCTTAGTGATTGAATTTGAAAATTTATTCTAAAATTGAAAAAATATAATAATCTTTTTTTACTATCAACACATTATTATTTAATTTAGTCAGATTTTATCAAACAGTGTACCGTATGGAATTTTAATTGGTACCAACTTGAATGTTTATGTCTATAAAATACAAGTTAGCAACAAACTTCAACAGAACACTTGTTAATATCTTGATTTTGAAGTTTACCATTTCCATCTCCTGACTGTTCAAATTCCCGCAGTACGAATTCTTTCAACTTTTTGTAAGCCTTATCCAAGTTGTCGTTGACCAGGATGAAATGAAAGTTCCCTGGCGTTTCACCTGAAAGGTAAAAATAACTATTAGCAATTTATACTTTTACAAACAGATGATTAGTCGGGTTTATCTCCACATTTATTCAACAATCGTCCTAACCAACAAATCGTAATATGTCAATTTCATTTGTAATTAGCGGTTGTGGTTAGCTTAAACATCCTATATTGGAAATAAAAATTATTATAATTCATGAAAGCTTGTGATCAAAGTTTAAGCGTTGGGACAATTTTTCTATTGGAAATAATGTAACTTTCGGACATTTTGGGGATTTTTGAAATGACGAAACAATTCTGTTTAAGGAAAAGGAAAGATCACCTGTTCTAGTGGGAATGATACAACTGCGCTAACATTTTGGGCATTTTTTAAATGAGGAAACTACTTGTTTGTTAAGAAGTATCCCTTTGCAAGACCAGGATGCATAATTGTTTCAAACACCCAGCCAGGAAATCACTATGGTAGTGAAGAAGAAGGGAATTATTCTTGTCCCATTAATCATTGTATCAACTGCCTTATGTGGATGCGATGCTTCCTGGTATGGATTAACGTCCACACTAGTGAATACTACGACTATTCACAGTAGGCTACTATCCTGTTAATTAGACCAATTCATTAATTACAAGGCAAAAATGTGGTTTGGATCCCACTATAAACTGCGGGTCCCTTAGTTACCATTGCTGTATGGGCTATTAATTACATGTCGGCCTTAGTCACTAACAAGACTACAAGATTGCACCACTCATCCTAAACTCATCTCCATTCGTACTTGGCTTAAAATACCGCTAATATTTTACGCTTGCAGGACAAATAGACATAATTATATATAAAAACGTAGGTGCACCCCTACGTCTTGCAAAGAACAAATTATCCCAATACTAGTGAAAGGTAGTGAGAGTGGACGTACCATAGACCATCTCCTTGCGTGCTGCGTCTAGTCTCCGCTGTAGACTGTCCTCAGTTTCGGTGTTGCGGCCGCGCAGCCGCTTCTCCAGGTCGGCCAATGACGGAGGTTTGATGAACACCAACAACGGCTTAAGCTCCGTCAGTTTCACCTGGAAAACATCTTTTTCATTTTAAACAAACTTTCCTTTGTTTTAAGTTAATTTTCCATTATCTAAAATGAACTGAAGCATATTTGAGGTAAAAACTATGCAAGTACTTAAAATGTACTTCAGTTTGTTTGAGTTGTTTTTGTCTTAAACAGTAGCCCTTTCGCCTTTCACACAGTGATACAATATACAAATTTGCAAAGCCAAATCTGATTTTGTTTTTGAAGATTTGCTCTAACTATTGATGCCTGGTTCACCATATCTTACAGGATAAAGGGTAGGTGAGCCTGATTAACAACAAAAGCTTTGATAGACATTTTTATACCATCCAAGAAAGTTCGATGCCATACAAATAAAGGAAATATAAATACCTGTTTTACACCTTCTACATCAATGTCCAAAACACAAATCTTGCCGGAGTCCGTAACAGTATTGACAGCTGCTTTGCTGGAATAAATTAAATTTTTAGTTGTTTAAATAAACTGTGGTAAGTCATTAGTAGGCCTACAGACTATAGAGGCAATTCAATTGAAAACATCTTTATTAATTAGTATACATTGTTGGATACAAGAATGGCTACAATCTGCTATAGTACACAGCTCCAAACACAATCTTAAGGCCAAAGTGTACATTTAAATGCAATGTGAAAGAAGACAGACAAAATCTCAAAAAATGCAAAACTTATAGACATACTGTGGTCTGTGGCGTGTCATAAGTTTAGTTAACTGTTAAGAAGGAAAATAGTAGGCCTACACGTTTTTAGGCTTAACATTATAAGTTAACAACATGTGTCTTGATTCAAGTTAATTAGGGTAGATATATTCTTCATAAACAATTATATTTATCGCTTGAATTTATACAGAAGAGTAACTTATAAATTTTGCATGTGCACTCATTGATTTTGTTCATAGTATTCATTCTGATAGCCCCTGGACTACAAATGACTTTATAGGCTTGAAACGAAACATGTCAGCTTTGAATAATAATTGAAGTTAGACGCAAATTTAGACTACTGACGGAGGTAGGCCTAAGCCTATAAAGTAATTTTTGTTTAAAATAGCAACTAACCTTGTACCATACATGTTGTTAGAGAAAACAGCAGACTCGAGGAAATCTCCTCTAGCAATTGCTTGTTCCATTTCCTCTTTGGTGGTAAAGTGATAATGTTTCCCATTCTCTTCTCCTGGTCTTGGACTTCTCGTTGTGTGAGACACAGAGAATCCGAACTTGTCCGGGAATTCTTCAAACAACAATCGGAGCAGCGAAGATTTCCCGGAGCCAGATGGGCCGCACAACACAAGCACCTTAGAGCCTTGGCGCACCATTTTGTGTGCACCAGCTGGGGGAAAGTTAATGAATAAATATAAATGCAATTATTTTGTTAAATATAGGCTACCAAAGACACTAGCTTTTCGAAAGAACTGTCGCACAACAACATGCAAACTGAACTAAGGTAAAACATTTAAAAAACAGCTTAAAATTACAAATTTTCTATCAATTCCTATCTTAACGTGAATTTTAATTGAGCAGGGATATTGTTTCCAATCCATCATGGATTTGGAGCTAATTACAACTCAAGGCAAAAGTATGAAGAACTTCGCTCGAGTATCTCATGGAAAAGGACCTTCTCATAAAGGCAAGTCCTGCGCAGAGCAGGGTTGCCACCTTAGGTTAGGGAAAAATCGGGACATTAGACATTAGAGCTTCTAACAAAAACAGTCAAACTTACAGATCTTCAATTTCCTGTCAAGCAACACGTCAAAACCCTGTTAACAGGCTCCACTTGTAACAACTTTGGTTGCTGTGTTCTATTGAGTAAATTGAATAAATAATAATAGGATATTTTCAAGCATAAACAAGGGGAGCGAGTTTTGAAGTTTTTTTTCATCCAAATCCTATCTTCTCTAGAAAGGCTGTTGCCATCTAGGAACAATAAAATAATGATAAAGTAAGAAAGCTCAGAAAATTTGGGCACTGCATTAGGAAAATTGTATACCGTATACCATACGCAAATTAAGCCATTGAAATATCTTACGAAGCATTCATTGGTAGCACCTTGCTTTTTTACAGGATGACGATTGTTTTAAGATAAAACAAGAAAGTAAAGTTTTCAAGTTTATTGATCTGAACCCTATCTTCTCTACAAAGTCTACTGTAGCCACAAGCAGAGATGCAGTAAAAAAAATTTTAGATTCTACGGTGATACAATAGTTTGGACATCTGTCAGAAGACCACTAAAAACATTGGTCCTATCAGTTTTTCCAGTGATCGCACAAGAGACATGAGTCTTTATCAGTGAAGGTTCTTTTTCAAGCATGCCGAGACTCTTTGAATGGTTCAAAGTCAAAATAAATTATAACTCTTTGAACCGACATATCAAGCCAAGCTATACAGAGGCAAAATAGTGAACTTGTGAGATTTAGGGTATTTGGCCTCTATCCCAAGCCCAGACTCACATAAAAAAGTAGTTGGGGAGTTAGTGACCCGTGCAGTGATTTACACAAAGAGAGTCAGTTGTAAAAAATAACCGAAACCAAGCAGCTGCCTGAGAAATGTTTCAAAGGCAAAATCTTACTCCCCAGTCTGAAACCCAAATCCAACAATATTCAGATTTAACAGATGCAGTTGATCTCTTCACTAATCCCAAACAATGTGTTTTTACAATTAAAAAAATTTGAGATTCATAGGGTAAAGGGCCATTGAGTACCTGATCAAACATTCCAAGGATGTAACTTATAGGTAGGCTAGGTATCTGTCTTAACTTGAGATGTTCAAAATAAATTATATTTATTTCTGAAAAAAAAAAAATATGTTACAAATAAAAATAGTAAATGATACCGTAGTGTTGTCGAGGCCTATAGAGTCGAACCATCAGGCCAATTGCTGTAAAACTTTATGAACTTAACTTATTCTATATTATACAGTATGTCCGTCACATTCCATAAATCACTTATGGCTCAAACCCCCCCCATTCGCCTATCTCATCAACTTACTCGCAGGCCGTTATAGGTTTTTAACCAGACCTCTTAACGACGAACTTGATCCAACCGAATGGTCCACCGCTAAAATTAAGTTACAGTAGGCCTACTGGTAATGCAACATTATGGCATACATGCATAGTCATAGTAGTTCTCATCCTAAGTTGTATCCCTGACAGTGTTTCCATTCGCGGATTATCATCCCGAAAACGGGACTTTTAGACCTTGAGTGTGATTAAACGGGATGTGGGATAAAACGGGATTTGCGGCTGTGACATATTTTTATTCTTTTCTACTTAATTTTACAGAAAAACTAACTTAACTCCAATTAATTAAAATACTGTAGCTAAATATAAAAGTAATGTTTAAACAACTTTTGAAACATGATACTTCATATAGCCTATAATACTCGGGGTTGTACGAAAAAAATCATGCGGGATAAAACGGGATTTTTCACAATTTAAAAGCAGGTTTACGGGATTTCTCGACCCAGTAAGCGGGATTGTTGTTTTGGTCGTGTGGAAACATTGATCCCTGGATGCTGCACGTGTCAAGCAGAGTTTTCAACAGTATTTTCTTAAGTCATAACTTACTCTCCCAAATAATTAGACAATTTTAGGAAAAGTTATTCTATAGGCCCAACTAACACTTACACATAACATTCAATAAATAAACCTTTAAGGCTTGAAGGGATTGAGAGTAAGAAGAAAGTGGTGTCTCTAACTTACAATAGGCTTACTGTAGTGTAGGCTAAAACAAAGAAAGCCAAAGCCAGGAAATGATGACAGCAGGGTAGAAGAGGCAAGGCTGGCAGAAAGCAGCAGACAACAAAATTAAAACCTAGCTTACCTCTTAAGGTATTAAATAAAGAAAACGTTTTTGGGTTGTTTCAATGAATAATATAAATCGGAGCAAATTATAAGATAAGGCTACAATACAATTAATTCGAAGGCTCGGTTTGTTGTAATCCTGTTTTGGCAATTTTCTGATACATGTAGACTTATTCCAGGAAAAAGTAATATACCTGCAAGCCTAAAATTAGGTTTAAAGACACTTAAATCTTCGTAGGGTAACACTAATTAAACTCAACGTAGAATTTACAGGTAACACGTTTCACAATTTAAGCAACACCTGCCTGCAATACGCAAAATCGAGTTTCGAGTTCACTTTAAGTTTTAAGGTTAAGAGTTAAGAAACAGAACAGATGGACAAAAAGTAAAACAGGCAGGCAGACGATATAGAGGGAAAAGTTGGCATTTTGTTGCTGTTGCCAACCTACAACGTTTAAGGACATTTTCAGTAAGGCTATATCATAGATTAAATACGTTTATTTTATTTATTTATATTCAACGTTGGTTGTACTATGGCTGGCTATATCATTCTTCATATGGAAAATCCTTCTACCTTCTCGTTCTTAGTTTCTCAACGCGTTTACTTCAATTCATGGAATCAACTTGGAATTGCAAATTAAATTATAAAATGTAATCTATGTTAAATATCTATATGGCTATATGACTGCTGAGCTGTTGATTGATGCCGATTAACACCTTGTTCAAGGAAGTTTAGCTGCAAACAGGTGATTCGTATATTCACCAAACATTGGGAGAAAACTAGACAAAAATTGAACAAAATTGTGTTTTTGAACGTCAGTTATTTTATTTCAAAAGTAGTGAGGCCATATTTTAATTGCTAAATGCACTCTCACCAATACAATGAATACAAGAAGACTATTTTAATCCCAATCAATACTCTAGTTTTTCAGGAGAAGGCCATGTAAAATGCCTTCTGGGGCGTGACAGACAGAATAGACAGACAGACAGAACAGACATTGAGATAAGACTTGTTTCGGCTTCTTCAAAGTATAAAACGCAAAAAAAATATTAATTCTGAGCGATGTACAGACAAAACTCTAATTTTATTTATATAGAAGTAAATATTATAGAACATGGATCACTGTTCTAAGAATGGTCAGAGTAACCAAACTTTAATTATTATTATATCATTCATTATATTATATTATTATTGAATATTCTCAAATGGAGGTATTTTTTGTGTTCTAACTTCTTATTGTTATTATGTACTAAAATCTCATAATGTAAAATGAGAACACAAAAAATACCTTGAAAGTTATTTTGTACTTTCTTTTGAGAATATTTTAATGTTTTAATTCCTTTATTTTAATTTAAAAATAATTTAACATAAGTTCTGTGCGCATGTTAATGTAATTTGTAGACAATTTAACTATTTATGCATTTATTACCCAATCATCAAAAACAAATATTTTACATGCAATACAGAACATATAACTTAATGTTTAAATTATTGTAGTAATTTACAGCTGCAGGTCATGCTGCAGGTAGCATTGGTAACTACTTTTTTTTGCTCGGCAGTCGGCACAAAACGAAAACACAAAATGCTTGTCTTGCTTCCTTGCTTGATGCTTTTTGCTTGCTCTTGCTGATGTGATCGGGTTGTGCCGTCCGTCCGTCCGTCGCCGTCTGTGCTGCTGAAGCTGCTTGACCAATTTCATTGAATTGAATTTGCGAAAGTTGAGTGAAAAGTCTAAAGTGATTGGGTTTTTAGTTATGTGTTGTGTTCTTGTGATTACCTACTAGTTCGAAATGCAGAGAAGCGGTAAGGCACTTTTAGTTTTACATTATTCTTTGTTTAATTACAGTAGAAGCAGAACTGATCTATGGTAAATAATGGCGCCAAAATAAGTATGAGCTGCCAACTGTCATTAACTTTTACATTTCAGCAGCGCATTTGTTTCATATTTGATTGATTGTGTACTTCGAAATATAGTTACAGTTGCCAAATTACTCAATTGGCATTCTTTAGTGCCATACAGTTTTGAAGGTATCGTTTGGGGAGGAAAACAAACAACAACTGGGGCCTGGACCTAGGCCCACTAGGCCTAGTCTGAATGTCTTTTTTTTACTCCATCTTCACAACCATTTTCATTACCTAGATCACCTTAAGAATCAAATCATGCTATGACGCTTCAAGCTTAACTTATAGGTTTAGCTTAATTATTCATTGCAGTTTCACTTTGGCAATCATTTAAACTAAAGCCTAGTCCACACATGGAGACTGAGTCGGCCGACTGTCTGCCGACTGTGCGCGGACAGTCGGCAGACAGTCTGTCAACACAGTTTCAGATACAAGTTTCCGATGTGTTTTGCGTCCACACTAGCCAGCCAGTGTTTCCATGTTTGTTGGTATGGTGACCGAGGAGGACGTAATTATATCCTGTGCGGGCTTCATTTTTCTGAGCCATGGGCCTGATGAATCTAGGAAGAGACGATGATGGACTCAACATTTTCTCGAGCAAGGTTTGTACGATGGTCGCAATCTTCTATCAGACCTTCAGATTAGGTGGAGGATTTAGTAACTTCACGAGGTCGACTTCTAAAGATTTTGAAATTTTGCTGGGCTTTGTTGGTCTTAAGATTTTAAACTTGAAGGGATGAACAATTCAATAAAATGTCATATAATGATATAAATCATTGAAAACTAATTCCAAAACTTTCAAGAAACTCAATCCAGCTCTTTTATTACCGCCCAAAAATCGTAATATTACCGCTTTGTAATCTAACTAAATGGGCTGAATGTTGAACACCTTCGGCTTGTATCCAGTCTCCTGTCTCCAGACACGTCCACACATGCAGACTTGAGACAAAAGTTTTGTCTCTTGTCTCCGTGTTTCCCATTCGAACGGAAAACAGAAAACACTGTATTTTGTCTCCAGAAACACCGAAATTTGTCTGCCTACAGTCGGCCGACATACTGGAGACAAAATAGCAACATACTGGAGACAGTTGGCAGACCATGTTTCCGCAGACAAATCGCCATGTGTGGACGAGGCTTAACATAAGTTAGGCCCAAGGTTAACAAAACTGCCTCCTTTGAGTTATAATAGGTCAACTGATATGTTAGTATAGTACTTTGCCTTAAAGGGAAATTACCGTTCGGGGGCTACCAGGTAGTGGCGATTGAGTCATCTAGTGTGGCCGAGCCTTACCTAGCTATCTTTTCTTGAGCACATTGCACAGAAAGTCTGTGAAACCGTTCCATGATTGTAGCTGGACTGACAACTCTGTTTGTCACATTACTTCAGGCTTGACCTAGGGGTTGCGGCATTACCACTTAGATCAAATCAATTAGGGTGATTTTGCAAGATTTGAACCCGAGACTTCAGGGACCGAAGTTCCGTTGCTCTACCACTAGACCAGCTCGCTCCCCTCAGTTACCAACACTTTAAACATTACAATCCCACCCGAGGCCCAGACTAAAGACATTGAAACATTGTATCCGTTCAAGTTATCTATTGATTTAGACATATAAATTCTCAATAGACATGATTTAGCCCCTGAATTGAGGTCTATAATGTAATAACTCAATTACCTCGTCACAGCTCTGAAGTTTCCGTATGACGGTCGTTTTGGCATCAAATTGCCATCCTTAGATAGTATGTAGGCCTACCATCCACCAGATTTGGCGTCGCCAAACTTTACACACATACGAAACACGATAAAAATCATTTAGGCTAAAATATTTAAAACAAGAGACGGCTTGTCGCGCACATGATGATCGATACCACCAGTAGGCCTACTGGTAGGTCTACGGAAGCTGACTGGACAACTGCTAGTTTGTACCAGCTGTGGCGGTATCTCCTGGTCTTTGATCCCTTGTCTGTGGCTTGCTTTGTTTGATAATATTATTGAAAATGGTGTGATATTAAAGTTTTAATTGATCATTTACTTGGATTCATTGTTGTTTCTCATTTTATGAGCTTTGTCTCATATCCTTCAAGGGTGTTTAATATTTCCATTAAATATAGGTGTGTAGATTTTCTAAGCCATTGTCCAAATCAAGTACCTAAAAGTGGTGATTATTATCTACCAGGTTTTGTGCGAACGTGGATTTTTGTTTGTCAGTTTTTCCGTTAGGGCGGTGTTCTATAGGACAGATATCCCGAGAACACCGCCCTAACAGAAAAACTAACAGAGGTAGGCCTAACTGTATTAGCCTATTAGCCTATTAGGCTTTAGGCTATTATAGATATAAATTCTTTACTAGCCTATTAATTTTCCTATGCGTAACTGAAATTCACATGTTTATATTCTGATTCATACTTAAAGCACACTTTTCTTATAGGTACGGTCCAGTAGATGACTAATAGCTTAAGGGGATTTAGCCAAAATCACGTAGGTTTAATAGTTTTCATTACGATACTAGTCCTGAAAATAGGTTTGAATGCGGCATTACCATACGAGTCCGGTAAACACATTTTGGACGAGTGACGTACAATATTTTATGCTACAGGTACTACTCTAAGCTAACTAAACAATAAAATATCTATGAATCCTTATATATTCTTACCGACTAAAGGACTAACAATCACTTCTTATATCCTCTAAGAGAGGTTACGTTTTTGTTTAAATAATCAGCTGATTGGTTACGTTAAGTTACTAGCCCGGTAAGTGGTGTTTTACCGTGCGAGCAAGACAGTTCCCAGGAAATTTTTGTGCGAGTACGTTTAAGCTTACCGGGCGAGTAACATAAGATACTTTACATCATAATACACAGAATAATTAATAGGTACGGTACATTGTAACGCTTAACACAACTTATTCACGGCATAGCATAAATTATAATATTTTTATATTACAGAAAATAAAATAGGCCGTTGCAGTTAGCTGTTTATTTCATTAGCTGACTAAGTGTATGGTAAAAGTACATAACGTTCATTTTTTGTGTTTGGGCACGGTAAAGGGCAACTTTCCAGCCTATCAATATGGATGGAAATGTACCTGTTTCTGTGTAGTATGATGTAAAAGCTCATTACAGTACAGTAAAATATAATGAAACCATTTGATTAAGCTGGTGGCAAACAGCTGTTTACTGGACTAAATCCTTGTGTGGGATGTTCGTTATAACAGTGTAGTGTGGCGTAAAATATATTTTTTAAGATGTTTTCCAGGGTTGAAATGTAAGAAGTAAAATAGCCTAATCTAATAAAAATAAACTAAAGGATTATCCTATTTAATTTAACTCTCGATTTTACTTCTGTACGAGATTCAAACAGAAAAAAGCACTTCCAACCATCCCTTAAACAAACACTTCAAATTATACCCTACTTGCTTTATTCATCTAGCATACAT